ACTACGTAAACCCAAAATCTTGATAGTTTTATTTTGTTTTACAGTGGTATATTTTATATTGTTTTTTATTTTAACTCCTTTTTTTTGTGTTTGGCATTTCTCGTGCTGGGGTGAGAGCCACGCAAAGTTGAACGTGGACTGGGTGGCTGTCGCACGTAACTTTTGCTGCCAACTATGTGAAACGTTGTTGGAGGACCAATTTTTGGTATTGCTTTCTCTAACGCTGGCCCTGCCGCCCTGCGCCCGCTTTCTCTGTCTCTGTCTCTGTTTGTCTCTCCGGCTGTAAGAGCAATGCGGGCGCATGTGTCTCGCTGCTGCTGCTGCTGCTGCTGTTGCAACAAAGTGCATTGAAAATTATTTCTTTTGTTTATTAAAATTGTTTTGCGAGCTTTATTGAAAATGAGACGGAAATGGCAACAGCTAACAGTTGGGTCCTTGGCTGCCATGAATCCCCAGGTCCTGCCCTTGGCCAGTTATGTGCTGTGTGTCTGAACGGCACGCACCTTGCCCTGGCGACTGACAAATTTTATGCTAGCTCCCTCTCTCTCTCTCTCTTTCTCTATCTGTGTGTGTGTGTGTGGGTCGAGCTGATACATGTGGCATGTTTTATGCATGTAGACCACGCCGTATCAAAAAGAAAGACAGTTCCTAGTTGCCAGCTTATATTTACATGCAGAATTTTTCCTTCTCATACTGCCACGCATCAAATGAACGCGTGCTGAGTGCGCATTCTGGATTAGGGAGCAGGGGCAGAGCAGAGTATCGGCGACGAGTGACGAGTGCTATGCGAGCAAACGAGGGGGCTGAGCATGTTCAAAGATGCCTCCGAATGCATTTGGCGTCCAATGCAAAGGCAGATCTGCATGCGAGCATAATAAATATATGCTCCACACACACACATACACATGTACATATCCACATCTATGCATACATGTATAGCGATACAGATATATGTGTGGCTGCATGGCCACTGGCAATGGCATTATATAAAATGCATAGAATTTTCGCTATATTCCATGCATTTAAAGGCGAAATTTATGTTATGCATGTTCCCGTCCAAAGCCAAATTGCAACAAAAGGGCAAACGCGAAAGGTAAGCAACAACTTGCAACGGTCCCTTTGAATGCAGCTACTTTTGATTGAAAATATTATGGCAAGCAACCTAACGGCTCAAAGATGGGTGAGGATGTGCCAAAGTTAATCAACTTTTTACAACAGATAAATCTATATATATAAAAGAAAGTTGTGTAAAAGTGAAGACCGCTTATAACTTGATTTGGGCTGAACCAATTTTCATGGTTTTTGATTTGTTAGATTTGTCTCCGCAACGAGTTTAGTATAGGGTCTTAAAAATACTGAAAAAATTTGCCGAATACTTGAAAAACGCGGTTTTTTCCCCAAATGTTCAAATTTTTTTTATACCCAGTAGGCTTGGTAACAGTGACAGTTTTGACAATAGTGTAGAAGTAAATAAACAAATGTAGTCAGTCAGTCTACGGTCTCCTGACCTCGAGCAGACCTGACTATTCAAAAAAAAAAANTCTTGCCTTCGCCATGACGATCAACAAGTCACAGGGCCAATCTTTGACTATTTGTGGCCTCAATCTAGAAAATGCGTGTTTTTCTCATGGTCAATTGTACGTGGCATGCTCACGTGTTGGCAAACGATCCGCATTATTTGTTCTTGCACCCGACCAAAAAACGAAGAATGTCGTTTACAACAAGGTGCTTGAATGAAAATCCGATTAATAAATTTATCAGTGTATCCCAGCCTGAACAACATAGCTTTCAACAATTTTTTACCTAGAAATAATATAGAGGGCAATGCAACGTTTGCCGGGCCAGCTAGTATTGAATAAATAACAAATGTACAAAATGAAACTCTAAAGCTTTGTACCCTCTGTATGTATTTCACTTTAAGGCAAAATCTTAAATACAGGGTATCTAAATGTTGATCGAATCCAATTTATCAAGTTAATTATCTAAATTGATTACTGTGACATTTTTAGCTATTTGGTTTACTGTATATGGTTGTTTTTTGTTTACAGGGTCTCTTTAGTCGAGCATATCCCAAAAATTTAGTCTGGAAGATATTTATAATTTTTTAAAAATATTTTATAAATTTTTAACTTTACTTCCCTTAGCTTAAAAATAGACTAGTGTAATACAAAATTTGCTTATTGTTGAATTTTATAAATAAATAAATATATTAACTATTTACTTTTAGGGTAGCAAGTTGTCCTGAATATATAAGAAATCACTCTTGGTAATGGTACTACAGTTATTTGATTGATTCTCGTGTTAATATATATAGTTTGTAGATTATTACAGGGTATCTAATATAATATAATAAATATGTTTTCACAAGAGAAACAAGAAATACAAAACAGAGTATGCTGAGCAAACTAACAAAGGTCAGCTATCTATAGAGCAAAGAAACTGTTTAAGTACATGCATACAATATAAATGTATACATACATAAAAAAGAGTTGAGATTAAAGTAAAATTTGTATTGGAGGGCAAGTGATAGTACTGTCGCTTATTTAAACGGAATATTTGAACTGAACTGAGCGAGCACAAATGAAATTGTTGCGCTCGGAAAATCCATTAATTTCAATATTTAATGCATTCATCTAAGTCCCCAAAAGCAAATCACGACACGACAAGAAAACAAATCGTTAAACATTAAAAACTCGACTCGCTGTCGCTGCTGCGAATTACGGATTCTGCGATGCGAAAGCGAATGCGGATGCGGATGCGGATACTGCGTATCCGAATGCGGATGCGCACTGCTGTGAATCGCAAATCCTTTACAAAGCTGTGCAACATTTTCTTACAATTTTAGTGGCAACGCTTTTAATTAGCTCGCTTCAGCTATCGCTGGCATAGTCGCAGCAATCCTCCGCCAACGCCGTCGCCCCCGCCCCCTCAGGCAACAGTCAGTGGCGAAACGCCTTAAAAGGATTTATGCAAACGCATCAGCTGTGGGGAAATTATTCCAAAAGCCACTCTCTGCGATTCCCTGCGACTGCTCTGGCGATTCATTATGCGTACTTACTATTTACCACTAGAATCGCAGTCCTGGATTCCGATAGTCAAAATCGTGCTATGCCATAAGCTCAGCCATCAATCTAAAAAGCTTAAGAGCAAGTGTCTTCGGTTACGCCAATAATTTAGTTCTGTTTACTACAAATGCTCCTTATATATATGTATATATGTGAAGCAGCTTGTATGTAGGCAAGAGAGAAAGAGATAGACATATTTGACTTCACACTCTATAATCTATTAGAAATAAATTTGTTCCGATGGGCATATTGAACTATGATGAAAATCATATTTGTTTTTATTTATTTATTTTTTTGTTTTTTTTTTTCATTTCTGTAATATCTGTGCCAATTGAAAAATATATCAAACGGACATATATGTATGTTACGGTATGTCTTTATATATAGAATTAATTAATTTATTATAATTTTCTGTAATATATGTGTATTTCTATACACTTAAAAAAAATGGTATACATATATATACGAGAACTTTTAAATTGATATTTTTGCACCTTCGCTAATCCCATTGAGTATAATCTATAAACTGCTCTCAGCTAAATATGTTTAAGTTTGTGGAACGTATGACTGAAAAAGGTTTTGACAACTCTGTCGCCTGCTCAATAATCGCAGCTGCTTTAAAGTATGCTATAAAATTATGTGTATGCCATTTAAGCACTTTAAATGTGACCTATAAAATATATTAAAA